TATATAATTGTATCAATTAAATTACAGTTACAGGTTACGATTGGATGAAACAGATAATTGATTACATTCGTGTCCTTCACATTTCTTTTCTTCGAAAAATTAGACGCATCAAGTTTAACATATTTATATACATATTTTTTAAATATACAGTCTCGTAAATACTTCTAAAGATGTAAGACTCGCTTAATAATTTTTGCAAATTTGTTAAAATAATGAAAATTAACCCGAAGCACAAATGACGCATCGTGTATACTAATTTTTATAATCTCGATTCAATTGGCTTTTAATTTTCTCTAATTTTTAAAATTACAAAAATATAAAGAGTATAAGTTGAATTAACATTAAAGTTAATCTATATTGGTAGAAACGAACACAAGTATCGCGAAAATAATTATCTACTGAGAATCCAAAGGCTTTGTATTATGAAAGCGATCACTGTGGCTACCTCGAAGTCGCGCTACCCCCGCGTCCGCGCATTGTTATCGAGGTCGGAACGCTTCGACGAGCAGAAAAATATGGACGTATCGCGAGTATAGTCATACCTTCTCGCGGGAACGAAACGTATTCGTCCGAGACTTCGAGCGGATAGCGTGATCGCGATCGCGACATGAAACGCAAAGTCGCGACGGCGATGATAAGCGTTTCAGCGAGAATCGCGCGTGAGGACAATTCGGGGCGGTTTCATGGCTGACATTTTCCTGGGCGTTTATCGTGATAATAAGGCTTTAGGTCAGAGGGTGTGGCCTCCCCAGATTGATTCGGCGAGCTGTGCTTGCTTCTGCGCGTTGTGTTTTCTCATTGCGAGCAGTATGGCGTCGTGTCGTTTCGATTCTCCTATTCCATCTTGGCCGCATTGCGTTTATCGCGTTGCTATATCGAGGAATTTGGTTGGTAATTCACTCCCGATAATTATAAAGTACGAGCCAGCTTGATCACGCGAGTTATCGGAAGCGCCATATCGAAGGCGCTCAAGATATTACGTAAACTGATAAACGACTATATTTAATTAAATTTCTAATTTCTGTTCTCTTATTAAAATAAAAGACGGTAGGGAAAGTGTTCGCGATTTGCTTCGAAGCATCGATCTCTTCCAGCGATATCTCATTTCGGGACGAAAGAATACTACAAATGATTACGACATTTTTCTACAGTAATTGTATTTAAAAACGACGGCTCTTTCTTGTTTTCTCCTATCACGCTCTTCCTCGACTTTTCTCGCTTTTCACGATTTTCCATGTTCTGTCGCGAACCTATTAATACAGCACCAGCAACGAGCCGTAGCGAGAAACGTTCTTGCACTCCGGAATCATTGGCTGCATGCTAATCGATTTGTAGGAGAATGGATCTTGTGTTCACCAGAATAAGACAAACTGGATTTATTGACTCGCTATAGCATAGCAAAGAGAGAAAAAAATCATTCCTTTACCGAGGACGATTACAACCGTCCGTGGTCGTCGTTGTGTTACTGGTGTGCGACCAGTAACAACACAAACCAGCTTGTGATCACCTGGAATAATCAAGCGGAGATATTAGCGTAGCGTGCGTTCGCGCGCGTGGGAGTGTACGCACACGCACACGCGTGCGCACGCATAAACCCATACGCGCGTATCCGCCGCTACATAATGACGACGCAGTATCGGCGCGGCGTGGGTGTTCGTTCTCGCTCCGACAGATTCGAAAACGCATTATTAACACCGGCGACCCTGGCTCTATGATTACGCGCATTAATAGCCGGATGGACGAACTTTGCTCGCGCTCCGCACTATCATTATCATCGCAACGCGAGAAAGAGACGGATGACGAGAGACCGTAGGAAAAGAGGCCGGTCCCACCGCGACGGCGGCGGGCCTCGATGGATCGAGAAAGAAAATTACGAAATTGTTATTTCTTTCGTTCGAACGCATTTCACTCCGACACTTGTGTGTAACAGCGTGTGTGTTTTTCGTACAGCGGTGCCATTCGATCTTCGATGCATTTTATTAGATTTATATATAATCGGGAATGTCGAATACTATTTTTACGTTCACGATGCGAACGAATCTGAAGTTTTCTACATATAAGTCATTGCCTAGCTTTAATAAGTCTTAAGCTGTAAGAAATTGATCAATCATAATCGATTATTCTTCTTATATTCGGCTATGATTGATGGTTCTTATAACTTAGGGCTTAAAACTTAAGTAATAGCTTATTGTAGAAAGCCTATTATATTTATCATATTAAACTAGAGATTGAGGCTCCTATTCTATAAGTCTTAACGACAGTATCGTTATATTGTTGTTGCGCAGCTTTTTTATCATGTATAATACCTGTGCAATGACAATGATATTATCATAGTCGTTAAGAGTTACAGAATAGAGGCTTGAATTTAAAACCAAATCAGGTTTAGTGAACTTTGTTTTGATCGGTTAAATTCAATCTCAATCTCAAGCGCTGGCCTGATTACATTACAAATCACACCTGGCGTTTTGTCTACACCTTTTTGAATCGCATTTTCAAATCATCTTAATTTTTCTGAATTCAAACTTGGATCGCAGGATCACGAAAAAGATCTCCGTCATTCGATATTTTGTAATGATTTTTTTTACATTTATAGCGAATTGATGACTACAACTATTTTTCGAGACTTTGCCTCCGTTTCTTTTCTATCCGCGAAAATAGATTTTTTTTTCTATAAAAACGAAATCTTTGCGATTAAGGCAGTATCGTTCAACACGACGCGTACGTTTTCGCTACGATTTAAGCATACGAATTTTTAAGTATAATGTTTCGCGTGCATATCGTACCTCGCTTGCACACACGAGCTCCTTTTCAAATTGCATATCAGGTACGATCGAATGTCGCGAGTGTACCAATCTTCCGACGATGAATTATTCATTGTGTAAATAATTCATAAATCATTGCGGGCTGCACAAGCCGCGCGAGCAGCAAAACCCGATCGAAAGCTCGAAAGCTTGCCACATGATATTTTTCAAGGAATCTATAAGTGTTTCTTCGCAATACGTTTCTATACTGAAACATTCGACGACATCTCTTTCACCTTTTATAATTTCAATTTTAGACAAAGAGACTTTAACATTTTGCATGTTGTGAAATCTTAAAGATCGGACCACAATGGGTGCTTTTCATTTAAAGATGATCCTACACGATCAATAATACTGATCAGTAATACTGACAGTACGCATTAGTATTTATAGTAATTTTACACGATCAGTATTATTGACAATATATTTCACTTTTGTTTTACGTACATTATCTATTACACTACGACATATACTGTGACATGAATCCTAATAAAGCGATATTAATGCTCGAAAATTAAAATTCAGATCACCATCAGTATTCTGTATGTCAATTCATCAATATTAATCACACACGGTCAGTAATATTGTCAGTATTTGTTAGTACTGACAGTATTATTGACCCGGTAGGGTCACCTTAATGATACACAAGGTGATACAAACCTCATCCTGTCTTTCTCAACATTCAGTAAGTGACAAAGATAGAACGTGTCACTTGTGTCTACTTGTGTCATCAAATGGAAGGAACCCAATCTTTTCGATCCCTTTTCGACAGGTACTCGGTACGATTCCATGGCTTTGGCCACGAGTTAGGATACCAACGGAAGTGTTAAAGTCGTAAAGATCGAAACGATGCCGTAACTGTCTCCCAGCTTCGCTTTTGATACCCACACGCATTTCCGGCGCGAGAACAGTATCGACGCCTAACATCACCGGCGACGAGTGATGCGTCGATCCGAGAGAACCTTGTAGAAATCCTCCGAATGTTATACACCAAACGCGCTGTAGCGAGGTGGCACTCGTCGTCTCTCAACCTGACGAGAGAGGAAACGAGAGGAAAAGAGAGGGAAAGAGAGGGAAAGAGAGGAAGAGTGAGCGAGCGATGTACCATGGGGCGCGAGGGCGGCGTTGCTCGTGTACAAATCATGCAAAGGATGACGCGGCATCCCGCTTTCCGTCTTCCGTCGCTCCTCCTCGCGCGTGCTGGACGTCGTAGGGCGAGACAGCGTTGTGCATGTTGACGACGCTCGACCCGGGGACCTTCGCCGCGCGTATCACCATATCGCAAGTCATTCGCCCTCCGTTCTCTTCTCGGCAGATGCGCCCTTTACAATCTTATATGTTATTAGAATGACCAAAGGGACTTTAGTCGATTATTGTTAGTAGAAGGGCTTTGAACGTATGTTTGGAAACGTTTCCTTTAAAAGTTTTATCGCTAAAGAATTTTTTATATTGCATATCTATTGCTATTATTAGCACTGAAAATATTAGCATTTTGATAAACGTTTGATAATACTAACGTTTGATAACTATTGCTGGTTAAATAAAGAAGAAGTTATCCAAAAGATAGCATTCGATTACATCGTACGAAACGTAACGTTATATTATTAAACAGTAACATTGTTTCCTTAAATCAAAAGTGAGACATAATCAAAAAAACGTAAGGAAATTATTAATTAATCAAATAATATCGACAAAAAGAATGTTTTCTTAGAAATATGTCATTTTTGTTATTTTGGTTTTGTAATCCTTAAAAATAATCTTTCTTTATTGTGATTTTGATAGTCTGTAAAATTATAACAATTCGGAATAATTCGAAAGTGACACAACTTGAAATATCGTCAACAGTTTATATTTACTTTGATCAACTACAATGATTAAATTCAAAATAAAGCAATTTCTGTTTTAAATTTTGATCACCAAAATTATCTACTCTAAACGTTTTCTGTAGAAGACTCTCTTTTTTATTTACAAAAACAACACAACTCAAATCTCTCTCTCTCTCTCTCTCTCTCTCTCTCTCTCACTCACTCACTCTTGTAGAAAACTTTTAACTAAAAAGATTAAATTTTTTTAGTTCAGTCACTTTTGAGATAAAGAAATTATATAATTAGACAATGTGAATGACATCTTTGTAATAATTTAAGTTAAAATTGAGAAATATTAACTAAATAAACGAGTCATGTCTCTTCTTGTTCTCAGCAGACGTCGGACCTGGACACTTTGCTGTGCAGGCAGGATCTCGATCGTCTGCAAAGGTTGGACGAGGATGAATCGGACGCGAGAGATGCGCGGGAGCCGTCCGTGCACATGGAGGACTTCTTCGAGGTCGGCGGACCTACGGCGATGTGCCGACCACCACAGGCCAGTTTCGTTTCCTCCAGGAGTCAGCCGGCGGGCGCCGGTCAGGACGACGACGTCTTCCTCAGGCCACCGCTCTGGGAGGATATCACGTCGAGTATCCAAAAATTGGATCCGGAAAACGCGGATATGTTGGGCTCGCAGTCTCACATAAAAATGGAGACTGACGATGTGACACCGCCGCCAGTTCTCTCCCCGGTGGAGATCAAGACGGAACCGTTACCGCCACCGCCGACCTTGCATCTCCTCGAGGGACCGGCCACAAATCCCTCACAGAATCCCTTTCCAAATCCTTCTAGTGTTCAGCACGTCGTACACCATCGGACGACGACGACGACAACGGCGACAACGGCGGCGCTTTTCAAGAGCTTTCCCAACAGCAACAACAATAATAATAATAATAACAACAGCAGGACTGTTAATAGTAATAACACGAGCGGGAGTAACGCCGGTAGCAATAACGATAACGGCAACGGTGCTAACAGCAACAACAGCAACAACAACGGCGGTAGCAATAGCGATTCGTCAACGACCAGTCATCATCAGCCGAGCGGCAACGCGACATCGCCGCTCTACGGCTCGATGACGAGGCTGATGTATATTTCGCCGCTGACGCCACCGATCTCCGATCCCAGCTCACCCATCGGCGCCGGTCCACCTAGGCGGACACCGCCACCCCCGTATCCTCAACCGGGCCCAATTCTGAATCCGGCCCACAGGATCCAACCGCCGTCGATGTCGACCAAGTTCAACAGGCGGAATAATCCGGAGTTGGAGAAACGCCGGGTGCATCACTGCGACTTCATAGGTGAGTTTATAGACTTGAATCCTTAGACAGTTTATTATTAGATTCCTATTCTGTAACGCTTAACTACTGCAGTATTGATGTCGTTAAGAGTTGTAGAATAGGAGTCTTAGGGGCCGATTCTGTAACTCTTAACGACAGTCATTAATGTCGTTGCGCAGATATTATGTAGAGTAAAAAAGCTGCGCAATGGCATGAATGACTGTCGTTAAGAGTTATAGAATCGGCCCCTTAGTCTTTAATTCGATACTATTTTCTTAGCATTTTTTTTTTAAAATTGAAAGAAAAACTATACATTAACTTATTTAGTGTCTGTATAACATTAAATTAAATATTAAACTAAAACGTTTAATTTCGACAATAATTGTGAATTGGAGTAAATACGCAATAAATATATTTTTATCACTGCGTCAGCTATTAATTTGATAGCATCTTTAACTTGTATTTTGAAAAAATAAAACATATACCGAAACTTTCATGTTAATAAAGCACTTTACAAACATCGTATAAGATTTCGACTTGATCGTTTCGATCGCACTTTTAATTTTGATCTTCGACCTAATTTCTTGTTCTCTTTTGTAGGTTGTACGAAAGTCTACACAAAGAGTTCGCACCTAAAGGCCCATCAGCGGATACACACGGGTGAGTGAAAACGCTGCTGTACTTTGACGTTTCACGTCGTACACGTGGTTGCTAATACAAGGGAGAGAACGTTCAAATTAGGGGGAGGGGCTTCCGTGTATTCTCTGGTAATTAGGTATGTAGCTCATCTACGCGAAGCGAGACGAAGAGTTTGAAAGCGCGAGGTCGAGCAGTCGACGTTTGCGCGTGGGCAGGGCGCGGTCCTCAGCCGTCTCTTTCTCTCTCTCTCCCCCTTCCTCTTTCTTTCTTCTCTCTGTCTCTTCTTTTCCATCTCTCAGTTTCTCCACTGGCATTACTTGCGCGCGGTGTCGCGCAAAGGCGCTTCTATCATATGTAAACGTGGTAAGGGACGCACGAAGCTCTCGTGGTATGCGACTCTCCGCTTAGAGCGAAGCTAGCGACCGACCCACATCTTATCCATGTCCAAGCTTCGCCAACACACGGACGCGAGTCGCGGCACCAACACCGCCTGCCGCGTGTAGCTACCTGGACGGACACGCACGCTAGTTCCCACACGCGTGGAGCGCACGCGAAAGAGCGAGAGAGCGTGAGAGCGAGAGAGATAAAGATGGGCGGAGAAAAGGACGAAGAGATGTGCTTCCCGCACACGTGCCTACGCGGCAGTCTCTCGCGGAATGCAAGCCGGAGGCATCTTAAGTGCGATGTACCACTTTCGAATTGATACCTCGGTGAGTTTTTGCGGTAAACCCGTGTCATCGTTTGAAACGAATCGGTCGAACGATATAAAATTTAAAGATTCAACGAACGCGCGCAAGGAGGACCAAGGCAAAAAGACAGTTGCACGCTAAATCCTTTTATCCTTCACTTCATGCGTGTTTATCTTCTCAAAATTTTTATATAATTAATAAATTATCTTCTAATTAGAGACTGAAAATGATTTAAACATCTCGTTATACCTAATGTAATAACCTTACGGATTCACATTGAGATATATATTAGCACGCGACCACTTACATATGCGCCAGTGATTCTAACTCGCCTTCGTATCCTCCGTTGACATTTGAATTTAATAGGCATGTTTTCTCTGCGCTCGCGCGATAGATATACCAGCGATACCAGCTAAATTAATTTACTACCAGCCACTTTGCCGCGACTTGTACATCTTGTCCGTCGATCAATCCTTACGACATTCCATCGATCGATTAGAATGGAGAACCGATCGATATGCGAGATTATACGAGGATATTTCAATTTGTCGCGCGATCTCTCGAATACAGGCGAGCGAGACACGGGCGAGCCAAGAGTGCCAAGACAGGGTCGACGGGGAACGCTTAGCTTCGACGTGGAGGAGAAGCTGAGGGGGGCACGTGGCCCTCGCCACTCGCACTCGCCACTCGCCACTCGCGCGCGAGTCTGTCGGACGACTCGTGAATGAACCCTCGCTGAATCGCTGTGAATGCACCGTGCCACGAGCCACGTGTGTTTGACTTCGTTATTAATTTATTAACGTCTAGAATTATTATTATGTATTATACGAAAATGATCTTTATAATTAATGCAATAACTAACAGCTGACTCATAGTCGACGCGATAAATATAGATTTAATATCATAATTTATATTAATCGTGACTTGTTACGTGACTTATAAGTGATGACGACATAAAAAAATACATAATTTAATTACTTTCATCCTTAATTGAATCGAAGAATGTCATTAATCAAACTATCAACTTGTAATAATTTTCTGACATTTTTTCATGCGTGTTTATCTTCTCAAAATTTTTAATAATTAATAAATTACTAAATTTTTTATCTTCTGATTAGAATGAAAATAATATAAACATCTCGTTTTTCATTATTAATATACATATATGTATATATAAATATATATAATATGTACTTGATTGTGTGTTCTAACTTTTAGAATATTTTTCCGATCTGAAAGAGATCAAAGTTTAAGCGCTATCATTAATCACCAAGAGATTAATCAAGATCCAGACATTGCGAGAAAGCCCGGTAGCTGAAGAAATCTGGATCAAAGTAGGGTTAGGAAGCGTATTTGGAAAGCAACTTGCCCGCGGAATGGAGCGCTGCCTGCTCTCGGGTGAAAGTGATCCAAAATTAACGGGGACGCCTGGAGACCCCGTAGGTGTCGCCGGTTCGACCGATCGACTCCGGAGACATCGTAATGCAATATCATATTTCGCGATATCGCAGGAATCAAAGAATACGAATAGTCACGCTCGCAATTTTACGTTTTATGCAGTTAAGACCGTTGAAGAGAATTTCTTCTAAATAAAAATAACTTTTATATAAGACGGATAAAAGCATCGAGCGTAAATGTCGTCGAAAAGTCGCAAATATATTACGTACGCCACAGAACTCGTACTACTAAATTCCAACGTTTACACATTCCAACGTGCATTGCATTTAGCAAGAATTTTATCGAGCGTTCAAACTTAGAAAATATCATTGCAGAAAGGAAAATAATGTTTATAAATTGGCTTTCCATTTCTATTTATTCTTATTCTTTTCTTGAGATTATATATTTTAGAACGTTTGACTCGAGAATAGTCATCGAATGTTTTTACGCTTTAGCGACGAAAAAGATATAAATTCTAAGGTATGATTTTGTATGGATAATGTTTAATGTATTTTCTTTATTACTTTAAATATTCCATTGAAAAGCTGCAATAAAAGGAGTTATATTAATTAATTAAAATCTCTATTTTTTTTAAATACTATCATAAGCTATTTAACGTGCTTATTCGCAATTTAATGTTTATTTAGTTTTTACTTACTTTTTTCAAAAAATTAAATCCATTAATGTTTCCAAATACTAATAAATCAGAGAAAACAATGAAATGTACAATACGTTATTAATAACAGTGATTTTAATTAGAGTATAAAAACACTTCAGCTAATAATTTACAAGTAAAAAACATCGGATGACTACTTTCGGATTATAAGTTATCAATAAAAAGTTTTTTCTGAAATTATTTGTCAGCAGGATAAACGTTTAAGTAAAGGAATGAATCTACTAATGTCGGCCGACAGATCGAGAGGGAATTTCGCCGGTCTCGCCGGCGGAGATCCGCGGGAGAAGAATTCTCACGTGAATGCGCGCGATACCGTAAATGGATAGCGCTCGTGGTAGTAGTACCGTTCCTTGGGCTGTGCGTCGCGTGGCACGGTGCGACGTGATCGGTGATGCTGCAGCGCTGAATGCAACTCTCGCGGCGTGGCGCAGGGCGCAGGGCGCAGGGCGGCTGCAGCGGCTGCAGCGGCACGGCCGAGGACCGGTTAGGGTCGTCTCCGTATGCCGTACCTATAGCGCACGAGAGAGGAACAGGAACGAGCTAGAAGGATGCGTGGGTGTATCTCTCAGCTATCGAGTTCTTTCTTCTCCTCTTCTGTGCGTGCTCGCCCTCCCTCCTCCCTCTGACCCCCCGTCGAGCCTCCGCCTCGGTCGCTTTTACTCGCTTAGCACTCGCTTCTTTACTCACCGTTCCGCGCATCGCAAAAGAATCTTTCGTCGCGATCAAATTCGCGAACGGCTCGGAGAGGTGATTGTTGCCGTAGGAGACATTTAAAGTTTGAATGAATCGCGTAGGTAATTTAAACACACGAGGTGCGTTTCAAGGATTATGGAAGTGTCCAAAGCGGACCTGTCGAATCCGAGTCGATCTACTCTCTAGTTCTTGATTATAGCGCGATTATACTTATTATATTAATTATTACTCATTATACTAAAGGGACGAATTTCACACTTGAAATGCATAACGAAGCATAAGCATAACATAAGGCCACTAAACCAATGAGCATCTTATGTAAATCAATATGGCGATCAATATGCTAGATGCTCATTGGTCCAGCAGTCTTACGTTATATGCTTATGCTCTGTTATGCATTTCATGTGTGAAGCCCTTAAGAACCGCCTGTGTGAAGTTGTAGTACCCCATTTTGAAAAAATCGATATTTTGTACACGGTTCCGTTTGCACCCACAATAGTTCTACAGTTCCTGCTAAGTTTTAACAATAGTTCCGCTGATTTAGCTAAAAAAAATAATGTTATAAATGGGGTGTCAACTTCGCGTTCAAAAATACGTAGAGGCCAGAACTCTGTGCAAAACCTACAGAAAGCGGTAGAACTATTGTAGAACTGTAGGAAAATAGCAAAAAGTCCGCGGGAACTGACCATTACGCGGTACTTTACTCTTGCGGTGGGGTGCTGGCTCTCAATTTAAAAAATTGTTTAAAAATACTTAGAGGCCAGAACTGTCGCTGAAACCTATCAGGAACCGTAGAACTCTTCGAGAACTTTAGAATTTCGTAATAAAAATTAATTTTTGCGATACTTGGGGTGCCACGCGAAGTTGGCACCCCATTTATAAAATTTCTTTTTTTTTTTTAGCTAAATCAGCGGAACTATTGTTAAAACTTAGCAGGAACTGTAGAACTATTGTGGGTGCAAACGGAACTGTGTATAAAATATCGATTTTTCCAAAATGGGGTGCCAACTTTACACCGGCTCAAGACCCATCACACACAAAATGACATAAGCTACGTAAGCAAAGCATAACACCGCTGGACCAATAATCATCTAACAAAAAGACACCATATTGATTTGCACCAAATGTTCATTGATCTTATTCTATACTTATGCAGCTTATGTCATTTTCTGTATGGTGGCCCTAAGGGTGGAAGCACAGAATCTTGCAGAACACGTAACGCATCATAATGAATCAATCAAAGTCCTTCATTTCCTTCCTTTCCATGAAATAAAAGACTCTGATTGCTTGATTTTCTTATGCCTTATGCATTATGCGTTATGTATGCACTCCGGCCTTTACTAAAAGTATAACATCGATGTTACAATTTCGAACTCAACCGTTACATGTGTTTTACAATTTTTGGTTGCTACAGCCAATCGAAATCCTATACTGACATCGCAGATAGGCTAACACAACCAACGATTGGCTGCGGCAACCAAAAATTGGCTGTTGCAACCAAAAATTAAAAATGCTATGCCATAATTTACCATCTAATTTCTTGCAGCAGCCAATCTTTTCTTTCAGTGTACTGATTTCATGAAATTTTATGGCGACATTTTCGTCACAAATTTCATGATAATTATACATGATTGCCATGATTACATGGAAATTCAAAATAATTTTTGCTGATTAGATATGATTTCTGATGATTACACATGATTTCCAGGTATTCCAATAAAATCTCAAATAATGTCAGCTAATTACACATGATTTCATTATGATTTTTAGTAATTCCACATGGTTTTATTTAATTTCATGAACACTTCCGATTGCAAAATGATCACATAACGATTTCTTAAAGATTTCATAATTTTGAAGACATTGTCCCACGTTTATATTAAGTAGTTATCCCCGCGTCACGTAGTGTTTCTAATCAAATAAAATTTTCATTTGTAATCACTAAAAATGTTATAATTACATACCCAATCATGAGAAATCATTGTGTAATCAAATGATATCATTTATATAATTAGATCAAATCATTGTGCAATCAGATGAAATCATTTGCAATGCAGTGGGACAACATTTCAGCTAGTGGTTACCCCCTCGGTTATATTTGTGTTTGCTGAGTAGGTATTCATTGATTTTCCTTTTAAATGCGAGACCATGTATACGTTCGACTTAACAATTTGAATCCTCAACTTGTCTCGCTCTGATTCTAAATGTCAATTCTCCAAGTCCGATCTGCGTCCATATTCTGATATGGCCCGAGCATAAATCCCAGTATAAATTTTAACGTCAATCGCGCTTGAGCTCTCAATCCCGTTTATAAAGATAATACGCCACAGGCACAGGCGCGTGTAAACTAATAATAACAATAAGGAAGGCATATTCCTCGATAATCGGCGAAGCTAAGCGGAATGCGGGCATGTTAGTTCGCATTAGCCGGTTGCAATGTTGCATTCAGTTGCATTCGGCCGGTCGCTTATACTCGCGCGCGGTCCGGCCCCGGCCGGTGCGATTGCGCTAGAATACAGGTGAGCGTGTTGCGGCATGCAGGTACAGTTAAAGGTCACACCGTGCTGCATCTCTCGCGGCTGAGAGGCGCGACGGGGTATACACCTAAGTATACCGCATCCCGCGGCTCTATCTCACAAAGAGCAACGCTTTGTTCTCTAATAGGTCGCCGCCGTCTCGAAACTCGAACGGAATTCTCGCTCGTGAGACGTACGTTCGAGTCGCACCGATTAAACTCCCCTATATATCGATACGCTTTCGCACTTTCGTGCGAACGTAGAATGATCTGTGAAAAGGACTCGACTGCAAAAAGAGAGACTACCGTAATATATATCTCGAAACATATATTTCGCATTAGGAATGACAGAAGAATGTAAAAAAAAAAGTATACATTAGAATTAGAAACCAATTACAGGAATTAATGAAACTCTTGAAATCAAGTATATCTCGGAAGAAAATGATTAAGTGACAAATCAAATTATCCACGTTGTATCTTTACTTAAGAATTAATCGTCCAATAAGTGTAATAAATTAATAATTCCAACAGCTCATTAGTCGTAATAATTATTATACGATCGCTCTCAGACACGCATCGTTGTGCACGTTTTCACTTATGTCTTTCCTCTTGTTGGCTGTTTCAGGCGAGAAACCGTATCAGTGTCAATGGCCGGAATGCGAGTGGCGATTCGCCAGGAGCGACGAATTGACGCGGCATTACCGCAAGCACACCGGGGCTAAGCCCTTTAAATGCGCGGTCTGCGAGCGCTCCTTCGCCAGGAGCGATCATCTCGCGCTGCACATGAAGCGGCACCTCCCGAAGCAGCACACCAAGTGAAGAGAGTACGAGAGTATGGACAGAGAAAGAGAGAGAGAGAGAGAGATCTTCTCTTTGCTTCCCGTTCGTTCTCGACTACCTGTGTTGGACGCGCGCTGCGTGGTTTTCGCCATTCAGACTTCGAGGCGCGGAGCTTTACGAAACTGTTAGTTGGAGAGCATCGAGAGTTTAGAAACGTGTAGAAATTATTAAAAAAAAGAAAACTGTTTCTCACGGATATTATCGTAATTTCTAAATGGAGCGATATCTATGACATTATATTGCAAATATTCTACGTTCAGCGGAAAAAGCAGCTTTGCAACTATTGTAAGATTCTTCGATATGATTGATATACTTTTAGATCCAGTGAGGGATCTAAGGGCAAAATCAATCATATTAGAGAATTTTATAATAATTGTAAAGCTCTGCTTTTTCTTCCGAATGCAGCCATTGCATGTATTTACATTTTTCCATACGTCATCCCATTTTTGTAAAGTCACAAATTTAGCGGATCTTTTCAAACTGACTTTCGATCCGCGGAAGCACCTTCGACTCACGTTCGTTTACGCAATCATCGATGCAATTGAATTCGCTGCATCGTCCTCGATACGATTATTCCGCTATAGTTTCGGAGTCGGCTGTAGGCCCGATCGTCGATCCCGATTCGCAATATATATATATATCAGGGAAGCATCGAACGCTCGAAGCGTCTCGAACGAAGCCGTCTCGACTCGATCGCTTCGGTTACGCTCACTACTGTTCGGTTAAGCAGTCATGACGAAATACATCCTCGGTGTGGGTGGTGATCGCGAGGAAATATTTCGTCATAGCGCTGTATACTCACTCACAGACAAGTCCGAGTGAGGGATATTACAATCCCCGTTCCTCGGTTAACTATAGCGTAACTTCACACCGACGGATGGGCCCGAGCCTATGCGAAGAGAAGTGAAGCCAATGCTCTTGGAAAGTAAAAGCGAAAACATCCGTCTTAAAAGGCAGGTTCTTTATTACTAATCTTTTACATTAATTTCAAAACGTTTACCTTTCGATACTTTATCGAAATATTTGCATTTGCGCGGATATGATAAGAATTTTTTCATTCCCTTACAATCTTTTCTACATATTCTTATTTACTTAAAAAATTCAACTTGTTGCACAAACGGCAGCTCCGCTATCATCATTCATACATTTTTTGAAGCTGTATACGAGCCGTCATCTCGCGACGCCGTCGAGTCCCTTGAGAAACGATTTGCCAGATTAAAGCAACGCTATCTCGAAATTATCGCTATCTCGAAGCTGGCTGCGACTCGAGATATCCTGTTTGGTGTGTAAACGATCGTCCGGACGATCGTGCTTAAGAGTCGAAGAAGCTTAATCCGCGTCTCGCGCCGCGCGCATCATCATTTCGATAGTCGTCGCTAACGCGAAATTTGCCCCGATATTTGCCGAACCTCCTTGATAGCAGAAACAGATAGATAGAAGAGCGAGTATCACGCTTTGTCGTTATCACGTTCGTATGTGAGAAACGACATGATATCGTGATGCCTTATGTACAAATTCGTGTAGTCTTGAAGAGATAAGATGTCTTATAGCGGTCGATGTGCGCGTGCACGTGTATGTATGTGTGGGCGAATGTTGCGTCCGTGTGTTATATGCGAGTGTGTATTTATATGCGTATTCTACACGCGCGGTAGTCTATATGTATGCGCTTGTGTATACGTGTAAAAAAAAATACAAGAAAAAGCAGAAGATACGCATCTGATAGCCATGTAGCTAGTGTAATATTATCTGTATATTACGCGAAGCGATGGGCCGGGAATAATTCGTTCTCACGCGTGCTCCGATCGATTCGATCCGATCCATCGCTCGTTGTTCACCGTGCTTCGCACAAAAGGCGTGTGTACACCTTTCGCGTCTAAAACCATGCGCTCTGCGGCAAAAATGCAAGAGACGAAATTTGTAGCGATAGTCAGGGATGGATTCACGTGGGAGACAATGAATTCTTTTAAGCTTTCGATCTTTTAAATTGCTGCCATCCGGAAAAAAATGTTGTATACATGGACATTTTATATATATAATTATATATAATTGTATATAAAATATGTCAATGTTTTATATAATTATATATAGAACATTTTTTTCCGAGTGAAGATCTCGATCGTGAGGTTTTTTAAAAATAATATTTGTCATCTCTCTTTCAATTACCTTGTCCCTTTAATAGCTCCTTATCTGGTAATGCTTCTATCAAGAATCCAAAGATTGGTTCCCTTTCTTTTCCTTTTTTATAGCGCTTTTTTATGACCCTAGGACTGTTTCGACCAGGACAACTAATAGTCGGATTAAATGAAATACAAAAAGACATAAAGTCGGTTGTAACGTCGGTTAGTTTCGTCAGAGACTTGCAAAGATTTTTATTTTCATTCTCGGAGGCTCGTCTGATGCAACTTAACACTAGAAGTAGCGAGCAATCGTAATTAACCGTGTTTATTTTTTAGATAATATTATATTTCCCGCGTAAAAGATAGGATTCTGAAATTTTTTGATTTTTCAATAATTGTATTTTTTTATACTGATGAAATATTTGATTTCTCATCGCTTTCTTTATTTTCATATAATAATTTCTTCGCACTTGGTCCTTTCAGTCAGTAAGAAACATTGGTATTTTCAACGTTTAAAGACTTGATATCTATATAAACACTCCAGTCAAAGATATAATTTTGCTCCAAAATATCAACCAATATTTTAAATTATAGAGACGAAGATGTATCTTTTGTTTTCTTTTTAATACGTTATCGCTAGGAAACCGGACTATCCAGCTTCAGGTCTCGAAAAGTTCACGTCCGTCCCTGGCGCGCGGAGAAAGAGAGGCGTCGGCGAAAAGCGATTTCGCGTATCTGGACGTTCCGTTACGTTCCGATACAAGCACAACAAGCATGTCCCACCTCGGGAGCGCGCGCAGGAGGCCAAAAATTCTGTCCGTAGTCGCCGCTTTGTATACAACGCGCGATCATTATAATAACCGAATGATCGAATCGTTATGTAGTTACGTAGTTACGAACGTTAGACGGAAAACGAAGTAATGTGTCTATTTATATCTGTCTATCCGCCTGCCTATCTCGTCACCGCATTCTTCCAAATTGATTCCCTCGAGTCGTTATCGTCATCGTCGTTTACTGTCCTTTCTTTCATTGCCTATACCGTGTCGTGGACCTTCCCATACAGTACAAACTTCTAAGGGAAGTCCTAGAGTGTGTTTCTCTTCACGCATGATGCGTAATTTTATTCTTCTTTGATATTCGGTAAACCAGGATAAAATCTAGAAGTGCGTTCCGTTTTACGCATGATGCGCATAATGTATTGTTTTATCCTTGTTGTTCACCGAATATTAAAAAAGGATAAAATGATACAACATGCACGAAACGAAACGCATTCCTAAAAACGTCCAGAAGATGTCCTACGGATATTCTAAGAACATTCCCAGGACATCTCTCGGATGAAGTGTGCTGTGTGAGCTCTTTCATCTCGCCATCCTCATATCTTGTCTTCTTTCCTTTTCTTCATCCTTCTTTCGTTTCCATCTCGTTCTTCCTCTTCTCCTTGCTGATAGCGATTGTCCCGCTTGTCTGCGTGTTGGATCGACTTTACAATTACTATATATAAATGTGAAATATACCTCATTTGCAGATACGCAGCAATAGAGTCGACGAGCCCGCTCTGAAGCGCGCTAATCAAATTTGTACGCACCTCCTATTCTCGACTTCTTACAGTCTGTCTATAATGTTTACGCTGTAATTTGTGTGTTGTGTAATTTAAATATATGCGAAATAGTATATCTCTCTGTAAGTAGTCGCAATTTTGATACACTAGTGCCCTCCCCACTTCCGTGATTTCATTGCCACACAGAGGGCAGCACCGTCTGTTCTGCGCTTTGGCGACATCTAACGTCGAGAATTGGAACTCTGTGCTCAAACACGTTATCGACAGGTGTCTGTCGTTTCAGTCGATTTTACCGTGCCTGGACATATGAGGCCTGTTCTTTTTGACTGAACTTTTGCACCAGTTCATCTTTTTTCCTCTTCTATCCTCTTAAAGAGAAAAGGAAGAAAGATGAACTGGTGCAAAAGTTCAGTCAAAAAGAACAGGCCTATGGTTTGAGTCGGAAAACCAATAAAGGGGAAACCAGAAGAAGAAGACATGGTTTTGTCAGGTTTCATAAATTTATAAATCTTTTCTTAATTATAATTTTTCTAAATAATATAAATTTTTTTTTCAGAAATCAACAGGGTTTGTAAAAAAAAATATACATAAGAATGATTCCCAAGATATAAATGGAAAATGAAATTTGGTAAGGTTCTTATGTGTAGGGTTAGATTCGATTGGGTTTACAAAGCTGACAAAAGGGAGTTTTCGCAATAGTATGGATCCAGATACAGTAAACACTAAAGTCACGTTATTTTTTTCTTAATTATAGCGAATTTGATTGGATGCACTCAGTGCACATTAAAGTCATCGTACACAAAATAACGTAAAGATATGTCTATACATAAACACAGAGGTCTGTTCTATTTTATTAATTAAATCCTGAAATACTCAATACATTTTATTGTACTATTAGGTAAAATATTTATTTTATAATTCGAAATATTTGCATTTCACTTTTATATTCAAATTAAATCAGTGTGTACAACGGCTTTAATATACACCAATGCGCACTAGTGCTTTCAATCGAATTCGCCATTCAGTTGTTCAGAAGAAGATAACGTGTATCTTCTAACAAGTGACGCAGTAATTAAGTCATCTTTGTTTAACATTGGCAAACAAGTGGTCTGTTTTCTGTTCCTGCACTAGATTGCTCTAGAACTCTCTTTCTCGCTTTAAATAAATATCAAACGTATTTCTATCTTACTTTAAGTTCCAAAAATGTACACTAGTTCAGCCACAGAAAACAGACCTAAGAATGCAATGATCTATTGTGTCACACCGTGTCACTTGTTAAAAGGCACACAATGTGACCTTAGCGTTCACAGTATCTGGATAAACTATATTACAAACACACCCTAATATTTATCAAATTTCAATCGAGATTCTTGTTTTTTTTTTTTGCATAATATATCTAAATAAAGATGGAGACTGACAAGTTTTTAAGCATTAGACAGTGTCTACAAAATCATGTTTTAGAAACCCAAATGAGGCAGTTGAATTAACCCATACTCGACTATCATGGGTCACTAGTGACCGAGTGATTACTTTTTCCTAACTTACGAGTCTTTCGATAATTATAACTTATTCCACATTTTATTTTCCAAAATGAAGTTTAAACATTTGTTCTAGAAAGTTGAATGTACGTTTGTGAAATTTTAGAGATTTTCTTGAACTATTTTAAATAGGTGAAAACATGAAAGGGTTCTAGTGATTCACGATAGTAGGAATGAGGCATCGAACTGAGCATGATATTATAAGGGTTAAGATTCCAACGGAATTTCTTTCTCCATGTGTGTCAATACGATATTACGGTCCGTCTCATTAGGTAAACGCTCTCTGTCTCCTGTTTTCAGCGGTACTCTCATGTCCAGGCACATAACGTCGGTGTTCAGAGAATGCTGTTTGTCTTCCAAATTGTTGTCGATCCGTATAAGCAAAGATTCCAGACTATTGTAGCTTGTTCTAAAAAATTAAGTTTAAAGCTTGCACTTAAGAAAAAGAAATGACAAATAATTTTAATGACACTGTATTTAGTAAAACAAAAAGCAACTTTGCAACTGTAGATGTGTGTGTGTGTGTGTGCGCGCGTGCATTATAAGATTTTTTAATATAATTCTCCCAGTCTATACCAACTAAAAGTAACATAACATTAATTTCACCACCAGCAATATAACCATTATGTAATACAATGTATTATATTGAATGTAAAATTAATGTGCTTTTTTGGTCAACTCGGTTCTTATCCTTAATTTCTAAATGGATATAAATATGTAATTAATTGTATTAAAGAATCTTACAGCAGTTGTAAAGCTACTTCTTCTTCTGAATGCAGTTGATGAGTCTAATAATTAGCAATATAAGATACATGTACATACTTTGCATGCTCGATCATTTTAATTAGATCTTCTTCAGTCTGTTTTAATTGCAAGGCTTCCTTCTTCAGGCCCAATTCCACATCGTCCTTACAAAGTTCTGAGCCAGGCCGATAAACTCGGTTTTCTAATCGCATTTCGACGCATTTCACCACGCCTATTTTACTCATCAGTGTTGCTTCCAACTGGGTTATCTCATTTCCCAACATTTCTATTTCCTTTTGTACCTATTTACATTAAAAAACTCAGATGGGAACAAATTCTTACCATGTATTTGATATTTGTCAAATTCATTATTTGATTTATTTTTATTCATATATATTCATGAAAATTTATAAAAATTGGAGAAATATAATCGCGATCATATACACCTTAAGCTTCTGCCATTCCATTTCATTTCTGCCTTTTTGCGTTTGATAAATTCTCTTCCTCAAAGTGTAATCTGTTGCGTCTTGTTCAGCTTTAATATCATTCAGCGCATGTTCTCTCATTACACGTGTAGCCTCACGAAAATTGTAAGATTCACTCAATTCTTTTTCGGCAGACAACTTGGAACAACGACATCGGTCAAGCCAAACCTCGTACGTGATTGAACTGTTGAAATGGAAAGAGACAAATTACAAATTTTGGTGATATAAAGATTGTGGTACAGAAACAGCAAATAGAAGAAAATGATATTTTGTACCTTGTTTTATCAACTGATGTTCTCGGTTTGTAACTTATATTTGCAGAAGTGTGATCTAATGCAAGATTGTCCTCGTCTATTCTAATGGTTTCGTTTTTATCTTCTATGTCCAAGCTCAGCCTAAATTTAAGGGCTTCCAAGCGATTTAACTTTTCCCATGCGGCCTGTGCTCTATCAGGTGAAAAGAATGGAATAGAGGAAAAGGAAATGCATTATCTTTCTATGACATATATCAGCTTGATCACCTCTTGGTAAATTCTTCATGAATATTTGCGATCAAGCGGAGCTCCTTCTTCAACTCTATATCAGCTTCATCGTATGTGAGTTCGGTTTCTCTACGGCAGTCCCTCATCGAGATGCATTCGCTGGCAATACGCAGGGGATGAGTTATGTTTTCAAGTTCCTTCTGTGTGTTGGCTTTCTCGTCACTTAATAAGCGTATCTCGGTTAATAATTTTTGCAGCAAGTCATCGAGAATGTCCTTCCATCTCGATAGTTCTAACACTCTGGTGAAACAAAATATTATGTTGGAGATGTATATTTCCTAAAAAGCAACTGAATGAAATCAATTGCAACTTTATCATTCCCAAGCAAAACAAGTTATTACAACATCAAAATGGTTCCAAAATGATTGCCAAAAATAACGATTCCAATCAATAACGATTTTAACATTATCATGGCTTGATCTGCTTGAATTTTTACTATAGATTAATTGCAATATTTGTCAAGGGTACTCGCAGTCACCTGTCCGTTATTCGAGCATCATTCATATAGGTGTCCCATTTCGTTGTCACGTTCCCTTCGGAACGAGTGGTTTTGCTCGAATTGCGTAGCCGACAAGCCTCGGATCTTTTGACGTCCGCGTTTTGTCGAAGCTCCCATTGTTTGGTATACCAGTCCGACAGACCGATATGAGGCAGAGGCTTTTCATAAGTACTCACGAATTTGGCCATGATGAGAATTCATTTGACGAACAACAAAACGAAGTCGAGAAAATGGATTAGGGAAAAGGAAGCGAAAGATATATTATTCTACAAGTCGCGATTTGGATAAACGATTTGATCGCAACGTTGTCAGGACAACAGAGAAGGCGAGAGCGGCGAGGTAATCGAAATCATTGAGATTGGTGCGAAGTTTCGACATACTTTTTGAACAAATAACGAATGTGAAGTTTAATAAATTTCGCTTTAGTTTAATAAATCATTAATGATATTTCTTTAACACTAGAAGTACCGATCATAATTGATCATAATTGATCATTACTATTTTTTAGATTAATATCATGTTTCTAATGTAAAAGATATCATTCTGGAATATTTTGACTTTTTATAATAATTGTGTTCTTTATATTGAAATATTTTAATCATTTTTTTTATTTTCATGACAATCTATGATTCTTGATCTTTTTTAGAGTCAGTAAAAAATATGGGTATTTCTAGTATTAATATTGTCATGCCCGATAAAAAATTTTTTATACGTGAATATGTATAAATATGTATAAACATACATAAATATTTATGATCACGTATATTATGTATGAAGTGTGTCCATACATATTCATATACATCCCTCTTTCTTTTATAAAAAGAATTATTTTTTAGTGTTATATAGAAGTAATACTAGTAATGTAAAAACATCAAAAATAATTAAAAAAATAATTTTCTCATTGTTCGTTTTAGAAAAAAACAAGTTTAGAAAAATGTAAAAAAATTTGTTCATACACAATTATGCATAATTTTATATATAATTATACATAAATAATTTTTTTACATTTCTTTAAACTTGATTTTTTCTATAACAAATAGTGTAAAAATTATCCTTTTAATTATTTTTTATGTTTTCACATTACTACTATTATTTCTGTTACATTTACTAAAAAGTAAATTTTCAAAAGAGAGGAATGTACGAATGTATGGACATATTTCATATATCATATATTATACATGTTTATGAATATTTATGCATATTTATATATATTAATACATATTCATGTAGGAAAAATTGTTTACCGCAGTAATAATTTTGCCAATAAGTCAGTGTCAATTGAAGGATTGAATACGATCGATCGAAAGTATGCCTTGAAAAAATTAACAAAATCGAAACGAATTTTTTAAACATTAATATTTCTTTAAATTTTTTCTTAGGATCAGAGGATCGATTATCTTGAAACAAGATGAAAAATACAAAAGTGTGTAAAAAAATTTACTGGAATATTTATAATTTTTTTGGTCAACACACATACATCTAGCAAATTCGCTCACTTTTGTAATTTTTACCTCGTTTCAAGATACACAATCGACCTCTAGACTCGATCTTTGAAGTGACGTACGTGAAAGAGGGTGCCGTGCTTTTGAATAAATTGCTCTTTGTTTTTTTATTTTTAATTTTCTTATATCAGAGCAGAACACCGCCATTAATTATGAAAGCAATGATTTTAAAAGAGGGGGGGGGGGAGCGTTGGTCTCCTCGCGTTATCGTGACTCAGCTAAAATTCGCGTGCCGCCATTTAATATATATCGATTCAGTGACGAATCCGAACTGCACTGTTGTCTTCCGGTAATAGCCATGATCAACATGGCCGTCTAACGTAAAGGCCGGCAGCGGTAGAGACGTCGTTCTTAAAGGTACAATAGAATTATAGCCTAGAATCGATTGCGCCCTGAACGAATTCTTGTTTCGCGTTAACGATGATTGACAGCGACTCATTATTCATTCAGCAGTTTCACCAGTTCGCTAAAAAAGTCATACGGTCTTCTCGATAAGCTTTATTGCTACGCACTTAAGCTGTAAAATGGGCATCGTTTCAACTGCACTCTCCTGTACTTTTTGCGTCGGAAACAAAGGAAGCATGCATACATTGAGCTTCGAAGGGAGAGAGAAGGAGAAGAAACGAAGTGCAGGGAGTGTAATTGAAACGAACGGTAAATACAGGGCCTACTCATCACGGGGGTGAGGGGAAGTCAACCGGAAGCCAATCCAGTAGGCGATATATAGCTTCTGCAGTTTCGGCAACATAAAAAAAAATGTAGGAGTACTCATTGGCGGATAAAGCGAATAAATATTAGGAGTGATTACATGTCGCTGACATAAAAAAAAATTGGACGAAGTACAACCAAGTCGTTCAAGTCATATGTCTGTTTTTAGCGGAACTTTTTGTATACGGTTGCTCCTTTTTTTCTCTCCAACGTCGAAAGAAAGGGGAATAATAAACCGTGCAAGAAGTTCAATGATAAAGAACCTATGCGCATTGCTTAAGTCGCGTCCGAGAGAAGAAAAACAATAGGTCAATTTAGCAATCAATTAATGTATTCCTCTGAACTTGCATTTATACGTGCGAAGCAATAAAAAAAATAAGCAAATCTAATTCGTAATACATCAGCTTTATTAAAATTGAATACAGGGATTGATAATTAAAATCGATGATCCGAAAATCGATCCTCTGCTACTTGCAGAGTCTTCACTAACCTAACCTAACTCAAAGAACACCAAAATCAAAATGACTATTTTAATTCTTGACGTCAATAAAGTCAAATTTTGTAACAAAATATCATTTTGACTTTCATGACGTCAAAATAAAGTCATTTTGACTTTCTCTTGATTTGGTATATGTTCCTTAATTGGAAAGTATAAATCATAACATCAAAATGATTTCAAAATGCTCATTAAAAGTCACTCTTCAGTCATTTACTGTTTATTTTAATTTCGACGTTATCGTAACACGTTTTTCTACTTAGGACAAGACTCGTTGACCATAATCGATTTTTTGTGTGTAAATTACCGATTTCAGCTAATCTTACTTGGAGAAACAAACTAACGGTACTTCACAGACGTAGTTAACAGTAAAATTTACGTGTCAAAAATGATAATGGGATTTGTAAGGTACACGATATCGATCTCTCAGGACCGTGAAGATTGATCGGTTCGTCCAAACTACACTCGATCGGCAGCTGAAAGATCGCCATCGGGTCTATTCTTTTTAGTTGAATTTGCACGGTTCACTTTTTCTCTTTTTCTCCAACTGGAGAGAAAGGGAGGAAAGAATGTACCGTGCGAGTGGTTTGAAATAAAAATAGAACAGGCTGTTATCGGAGCTTATCTCATGCGGTGCGCATATATTGTTTCAATCACGTAGTATAATAGCTGCAATAAAAATAAGTCACAGACCCCGTGATAAAAAAAAGAATAAGTAACGTTTTATGACGTATCAGTAACGTACATGTAACGATATTTATTCGGTCCCCGAAAAATGGACGCCTCTACGTGGCGTCTTGATACAGGTCTGTCGATCACGTGATCGATGACGCATCGGCGCATGCGCACGAAAGTCCCGCCCGAAGAGCGTTCGTTCCGATTCGTCAATTCCGTACTGTGCCGGTACTCTCGGCAGTCTCGGTACTCTCCACGACAATATAGTATATGTACACCGACGTGTATTCGCGTGAGGCGCGAGTATTGTGGGTAAAAAGCTGAAATGCGCGCGCACTGTTGCCGAGTACGAGGGTAAAATTTCTTGCAGTAGTTCGGAACGCGGCGGGAAGCGATTCGTCAGCGTGTTACTTTCTCGCTGGTGCTTGCAAGCGAGGGGGAGGCGGGAAGGCCAGCGGAACACGAGAGAATCCGAGAGAAAACGCCAAGGGGCTGAAGAGGGGGCGGCGAAGGAGGAAGAGGAGAAGAAGCAAGAGGCCGAGTAGTGCTGTTGACGATAGTGAAGAGAGATAGTTGTCAAGGGAATTGTAGGGACCGGTCAAGATTCGAAAACTGCTTGCACGCTAACGGTACCGTGAGAGATATTATGCGACGGCTCGGTATGAAGAACAAGCATAGAAAGTCCGAACTGGCGAGCGACAGCGAGCCGGAAGAAAATGTCGACGCACGCGCGGCCAGTGGCGACGAAACCGACGATGAGACGCAGGCCGGTAAGGCTAAGAACAACATCGCGCAAAAGTCCTCCACGAAGAGACGCTCCTCGCGCGGTACATCGTTGCAGAAGCCGACGGCGAGCTCGAACGACGATGTAGACTCTGATAATGACTCTATGAAGGTAGAACCGAAAGAGCGGGAAAATGGCGAGAAGAAACAGTCAACGAATAAGCGTAGAAAGAAGGAAGATCAGCGAGCGTCCACCTCGGCCCGCGACAAGCTCGAGAACGCCGAGAGCGAATATGAGGTATGGTGGATGTTTACTTACAATATTTTCCCACCTTCGCGTCGTAGAACGCTAGGGTTACGTTTGAATTGAAAATAAATCACTTACCGATTGAAAATTCTCACAAAATAATTGAATTTCATTTTTGTTATGTCTAAATATATTTCAATTTTCTTGTATAATTGATTTTCTGATAGGTTAATTTTGTTTGTGACGAATATCATCGGCCAATAAATATTACCGCGCGGAAAGAAATGAGCGCCGTATTCGTCAACAACAGGAGAATGATTAACGAACATTTTACGAATTGTATTGAATATTCAAAAATTCTTTGTTCGATTGCATTTGAAAAAAATTATTGCTAAAAATAAAGATTTATAAAATAACTAAGGTTTTGACTATTGTACTTCAATTATCTGTGAATTTTAGATTTTTCTGCATAATATGTAAGACATAGATAATAATTAATGGTAATAATGTGATACAACAACTATTCATTCAGGGGATCCTAAAGTCGTCTGTTTTATGAGTTATTTTTCGAGTAAGTATTTTTCTAACTGCCTTTAGAGATGTAAACATTCTTCTGCCACGATTAAAATACAACTAATAACGATAATGTAGTCCAAACCGGTTGACTTTATGTCACAAGCGAAAGAAAATTAAAAAATTACAGTTTTGTTATCGACTTCTGTTGACCCGCAATAATATTTGTTTTATACAAATTTTATGCTGTGTATGTATAAAACAATCTTAGTTTGAATTAGGGATTACATGAACAAATATTGTGGTCTTAAAATTAGGCTTAGACATTTAATGTAATAGATTAGGTAAAAACTTGTATGTGTACGTACGATATTGATGTAGTAGTATGTAGTAATATGTAAATCATATGTGTGTAAGTCCTACTGAGGTTGTTTCAATCCAATATTTACTATCAGTGCTGAAAATCTATAGTTTATGTCATGTGCACTATAGACTCAATACTGGCGATAAATTTTAGAATCTGTAATACACACGGCTTTAGGGTCTCCTTAAGCGGTTAAGACCCAGTTGCATCAATATCACTTTGACTTTAAGCGAAATTTAAAACTCTCTTTGTTTCGTTTTAAAGCACAAAGAGACAGAAAGAGTTTTAAGTCTCACTTAAAATCAAGGTAACGTTGGTGCAATTGGGCCTAAGTAGCAGTTGAGTGTGATTCTTACCTTTATTTAGATCCAACTAATCACATTAAATTGCTACTTAGCTGCTTTGAGTTTCAGTACTGAATCCATTTTTATGATATTAAAGATCTAATGCGTTGTCTATAATATAATATGCAGAGTAAGCTTGGTATAAGAAGAGCAAGAAATTGACCAATCATAATTGAATGTGAAAAGAATAATTGACTCTGATCGATTAGTTTTTTATTTTTATTTATACTAAGCTTTATTCTGCATTTTGTAGACGGCGCATCAAACACTTGTTTCCTTATTTGTTAAAAATGTCAAAAATGTTTTTTTTTTTTTATTTAGGTCGAAAGGCTCATCAATATTCGTACCATTAAAGGTCGTCGACAGTTCTTGGTGAGATGGGTAGGTTACGGAGAAAACGACGACACTTGGGAAAATGAAAAGGATTTGAATTGTTCTCAGCTGATAGAAGACTTTTTAGCCGAGGAAAAAGATAAAGAGAAAGAAAAAGAAATTAAATTATCAAAAGAGAAAGAAAAAGAAATTAAATTATCAAAACCGATCAAGACAGAGAAATCTAAAAGATCTTCCAGAGGTACTCACAAGAAACTAACCCAAGAAACGGAAGAAATTGGTACGTTGTATCATTATTTGTACTCTATCTTGAAATATTATTTATTATGAAAATAATCCTATGCATTTATATCTTTTTTCCAGACGAAAAAGATAGTGGAGAGGAAAAAGAGATCTCAAAGGAATTTGAGGTCGAAAGAATAATTGAGGTACGTTTTAAGAAAAATGGCACAAAAGAATTTTTAATCAGATGGAAAGGATTCAGTGTGTCTGACGACACGTGGGAACCGGAGAAAAATCTGAATTGTCCGGAACTCATTGCAAAGTTTATGGAAAAATTAGAAAAAGTGAAAACCTCTGAAATGCGGGAACTCAGAACAAATCGGGTACATACTAAACGATACACATTAACAACACAGCCCCGTGGAAGGAGATTATCGAAACGTAATAAAGACAAGCAAAGGTATTTAATTACTTCTGATCGATTATTATATCCATTATCATGTATTCTAATTACATTGTATTCAAAATGAAAACTTGCAGGGCAACGTACCATGAATGTGACGAATGAAGAATATCGAAACCCCAATCTTTATTTTATTCAAACAAAATTTATATACATATATATATATATATACATACACACACATATATATATAGTTTGTAGTTCTACAATAAAAAATGGATGGCGGTTCAAGAAAAAAAGAAAGGGAAACAAAAAGAAATATATCAAAATGAATATGAAGTAATTTGCTATTACAACAATAAAAGTATGTAAAGTGTACACATCCTTTTTCGAGGAAGTGAAGAGTCCGTATAAAAATAAGATAAGAGTAATCAGCATATACACGTACATGTATATTTATTAATACAGAAAGACTAAAGAGTTTCCAAGATATTTATATGAATAAACGTGTGTGCACGCAAATTTTGACACAGTAAAAGAATATGTTTATTTGAATGTATAATGAGGAAAAAATTATTTAAGTGTATAACATGAGGGGAAAATAATTACATAATTTGGCTTCTAATCTTGTAATTGGTTATAAAGAGAAAGCAAGAATATAGAAAAAACAATTTTTCCCGCTTGACGTATACATTTGGACACAAGAGAAGAGGGGTTCTATCATGGCTTCTTCCTCTTGGCCTGGATCCTCGTATGGGCAACAGCGCTTTGACACAAAAGTCTAATTGGTGAAAAACCGGCTGTGAGAGTAAAATTTACCTCCATCAATCCGTTTTTCACCAATCAGCGTTCGGTGTCAAAGCGCTGTTGCCCATATGAGGATCCGGGCTTAAACGATACAATATCTTTTTATTCATTTAATGATTAAGAAAGGTAGGATATTTGTGTCAAATGTGTCCTTTAAAAAGAAAATTAATTTGTCACGTTTGACTAATGTCACATTTATTCTATACAATTAAGATGTGTATTGCAAATTTATAATCAGAAAACATTGTTTTTACGTTTGAAATCGCTCTTTTTATTAATTCAAGCTTTTTTCTATCACTACACAATATTATTTTAAGATAAGCAATATGAAGTGCACCTGTATATCTTTTCCCGAGAAATATTTTTAAGAGAGCTGTCAGGACATTAATGTTCGAACAAAAAGACTAGTAAATTGCTACTTTGTCGAAACGCAATATGAAATTCTTATAACTCTAACATAAGGAAATTAAAAGAAAGACTCATGTTTAAAAGATAGTTTATTTAGTCATTTTACACACGTTCACTCCTTTTTACTTCCTTTACTTGTAAACCTAAAAAAATATTCATATTGTATTAAACTAAAAGTAGATACTCTTAAATTTGTTATTTTAAAAAAGTATATTTAAGAACGTTACAAGTGATAAAAAAATTTTCAATTTTAAACATGAAAAAATCATATACCTGGTGGTAAGGACTGTTTGAGTTTCTCAGCCTTCTCCTTGTCTGTGATCACAAGGGTATACAAAAATCGAGAACAGCGGACCTTAAACTTGACATTGTCTGCGTTTTTCTTGATTTTCACAGCTGAAGAAAGAATAGGGGAATCAATTACATTCATATAAGATGAGACTCGCAAGGAAGAAACTCTTGAATTAATAAAAATATTTTACATTTAGCATCCTTCCTCCTGGCTTTCAACAGAAAGTCCTTGATCTCTTTGATTTCTCGTGGCTGAAAAAATATTTTTGATACATTTTTGAAACTTGTTTTAAAAAAGAGAGGTTATGATGTAAATCTACCTTGTCACACACACATAATACAATAAAACAGTGAAATTTTTATGCGTATCCAAAAACGTGCGAAATATGTCGAGGTTAAACTGCAGATATTGCTTTACTCACCATATTTTGTTGCGATTAGTGTTAATTAGATGGACCTGAAATGGAATAAAAATTTTATGAGAAACACTTAACAGAACGCAAAATGATTCAGGATATATGCAACAACGCGCTTTTTCGAGCGAACGCGGAACGACGTTTTATGAAACGATACACGATGACATACAAACGACATGGATACAAAATAAATTCAGAGACACGTCTTACTTCGAACGCACGTTGATCTCGCACAGGAAAAAGAAAAGGAACGATACGACGCGATCAGTTAGTTTAGGTTAGTTTGGAAACCAAAGTCAAATCAGCAATTAAATTCGAAATGAGAAATTGACAAACTGCATAATTTCTCAAAAAAAAAAAATAGATAATTATATATATATATATACAAATGTGGACGGAAAAAATATATATACAGATATGGACAAAATTATCAGAACACATTAACATGCAAAATTTTAAATTCTTATCGGCTGTTTCATCGGTAAAGTAGGATACATGTTGCTCACGATTTGAAAGGTTGAAGCATTCCAACGAAAGAGGTTAATGTAGACGAATACAGTTATTTTGAGGTACTAGTGGATACAAATCTAATAACATATAGATATTTATATATAAAATTTGATTCATGAATTTTTTCAGTTAACTCATTTATATCAACTTGTATATCACAGAGGAAATAGTTAACGGGCCGCAGACGGATCCGCGTGTTTGTAATCGTCACATCGTCAGTAATAGCAAGATATCTTTCTCGCTTCCGGTTTTCGTCGTACTTATTTATATGACTTCGCATCGAGTCATTAGAGTCGAGCCAAGCTGATCAGAACGTAGGACACGCGACGTTTAGCGTTAAACATAATCGAATGGTATACGGATTACGTGTTTTAGTTTTAATTCTCTCGACCAATCTTGACGCAGTCGCGTGAGTTAACAGGATCAGTCGGACAGGTGCGCACGCGATCTGTCGTGATCTCGTTTGCATCGACGTCGAGGATCCAATTAGGCCGTCTCATCTCGCCGGGGAGTCGATGCTAGACGAGGAAACGCAGCATGGAAAGCGCGGAGCAACCGAGTAACGAGCAGAAACCGAAAGACAGGTTAGTCGGTCTGCTGGACCACATCGAGGCCCACGTAGAACAACTGCGAAAGGATGCCGCCAGGCTCATGGAAGAAAAGGACGGTCTGCTGACGACCTTGGACACCCTCAGGAATAACGATTTGCTCTTTACCCTCGAGGAACGTGAGTGGACGACTTAATTCACTGTATTTAATGGAATGCCCCATAATATTTTGGCTTAATTTAAATTGGAATGATAGAGAGAGAAGGACAAAGAAAAGAGGAGAAAGATATACTACTCAATATGAGAATACTTTTTTATTCTGTGATTAATTTACTATCACTTACTGTATTCCACGTATGTTTTAACTTATTATTGTATTTCTAAGATTATCACCTTTAATTGTGGAAAAAAATATGAAGAAGTATTTAGGTTTACACAGGATAAATCATTATATAGGTTACTTGGTTAACAGTGTTATTGTTTTTAGAAAAAAAACAAACTGGAATAACAAATACAAGTTGCTTTCTAGCAAGAGACACAGATGACACAGTATAACACACAGTGAATCATTATATCTTTACTTAGTAATGTTAAACAAAGATAAAATGATTACTGCATTAAACTGTTTCTTGCTGGAAAGCCTAATAGTTAATTTAACTCCAATTTATTGCACCAGTGTATATTAGTTCAGAACGGTTTTTGAAAAAGAAGAGACCTAGAATTATTTTATTTTAACACCTATGTCCCCCCCAACTTAAACAATTTTCTTTGATGTGATATTAAAAACATATCTTTCATTATCATATATATCTTTAATTATCATATCCTTTATTCAGCTGATAGAGATGACATCTTGAGGTATGCTGATAGATTGTCCATGCGCTGTTCTACTGTAGATGTATTAGTCACAGTCCAACGAGATCATGTTCAACAGGAAGCATTACATCAGGTTTGAGATTCACTTACAATATCTTATAAGAGGACTGTTCTTTTTGGCTGAACTTTTGCACCAGTTCATCTTTCTTCCTTTTCTCTTCAGGAGGAAAGGAGAGAAAGAAAGATGAACCGGTGCAAAAGTTCAGCCAAAAAGAACAGGCCTAAAGATACATTACCGCTCAAAAGTTTGGAACACTTTACAATTTTTAGATAAAACCATGTTTTTTTTATAGATATAATTATTTTATTGAAAAGATCGATATAAACATATGAATGTACGCTATTTGAGAGGAGCTTAAGTTTAAATAACCTTCCTTAGATAAAGTAATTATAGTACTATGGGTTTCAATACTAAGCTATATTCTTTTTAAATCACTTTATCATTACACAAGAAACAATCTTCAGAGAAATATATAAACAACTTCAAACTACGAAGAAACCTATAGCTAAGGTCAAATAATGAACACATGACACAATGTTACACTGCTTGACATAGTAAAAAGCTAAGTACGAGTGTGTAAAATATGTCAATGTTATCAATTTTTCAAAAGGTTATTTGGTAGTTGGTACTTATTTTGTAATAAAACTTCTAAAAATCGCCAATTTTGAAAAAATTATAACTTAATTCTAAATAAAAATCATAAATCTATTATTGATACGATAAATATAATTATAAGAAAGAATGGAAGACTACAATGCATTCTGGTGTTACACTATGAAACTAAACTGTGTTTCAACAAGTATCTTACATAGTGGAACATAGTATAATATTCTGTGTCCTAGCTAAAAAACAGCCTAAGATTGCTTGTTCTCTTCTGTGAAAATACAATTAATAAATTTTGTTATCTAACATTCAATATATATGTTAGTTTGTTGTTTTAAATTTAAACTCTACTCAAATAGTGTACGTTCATATATATATGTCAATATTTTCAATAAAATAATTATATCTGTAAAAAAACATGGTTTTATTTAAAAATTATAAGGTGCTTCTCTGCTAACTTTTGAGCGGTAGTGTATAATTTTAGAATTCAATGACTAATTGGTTGTTATATTAATGTAGGTTAATGGCCTGATTGACAGCTTGGTCGTAGGCTTGCGACAAGACCCAAATGGCACTCGACAGCGATGTGCAGAATTTATGAATGCTTGCTCCTCCCATAGTATAGGACATTCCGATAAGATCTTCGAGACCGCTATTCTTGGATGCACGTTAGATGATCAAAAGCGAGTCAAGAAAAGATTACAGGGATTGCTCGATTATATCGATAAGATGCACATCTTGGAGATGACACAGTAAATAACATCAAGAGGTTCCTCAGCAAATTGAATTTGTCTGAATTTCCATACATCATCTCAAATGACGAATCTTTTCGACGGTCTAGCGCTGTTGTAGCGAATTAAGAGACAATTGGGAAAGATATATTCTTTACATCTTTTCTGCACGGCTGTTTCCATTTTCCTTCCACATTGCAAATAACTACTTCAAATGGAACGCTTGGCTGTGTACAGAATGCAACAACATGTGATTGATTGGATTTAATCTTATAGTGACGCGATATCGATTCTCGGCGTTTATACAATTCCTAAGCATATTTTAAGACACTTGGCATTTCAGTAACTTAGAAAAATAAAAAAAAGAAGGTTAAAAAAGCATTCGATAACATTTTTCAAATCTGTACGTTTAAAATAAAGAGGAATTTCTAGAGGATGTGTACAACTGCACTTATAAAATTTTAAATATTATTTGAATGTTATATTAACAAATATAAAGTAAATGGCCTCTTTACACTCACTCTAACATGATTATTTATTTTGTGAGACATTTAGCTACTGATTAGTTTCGAGTGTAATAAGAATGGTTAAATTATCTTATTTTATTGTCAAAAATAATTTGATTTTTTGGTTTGAGAAATTCTGTTGAGCGGAGATTCTGGTCTAGAAGCTGATTTTTAGGCTATTTTCACGAATTTTTTTCTGAAAAATTCGTAAAGCCTATACAAATCAGGATTGTTCCTACATATTAGTACATATTTCAAGTATCTTTAAAAATTTTTTAATTATAATTTTCCAAGAAGTAAGCCTTATGACAGTTTATGTAAGATCATGAAAAAAATAAGACACTACATGGTGACCATGATTGCGGCTGTTCTGCTCGTGTGAAACAAAAACCTAAAGAGATTCTTAAGCCCATGACAAGAGCGTAAGGCCGTAACACGCAAGCAGTAAGTGAATTGACCAATCACAGCAGAGACCGTAAGACCAGTAGCAAATCCAATGTTACGATTTCCTTACTGACTACGTCTCACGGACTTATTTTTTAATTTTTAAAAAGTTAGTTTTTCTATGTGCTCCCGGCTTTAAAGCATATGAGTTTGGCTATGATAAAAAAAAATATTAGAAAGAACAAAAAATGTTATTTTGAAAATTATTTTCCGATTTTTTCGAATTTTCTCATCTTTAAAGTGCTGTAAAATAAATAAAAATAAACATTTTAACTTTATTGTAGTTTAGATGAGAACTATATATGCGCCAAAGATGTACGCAAAATTTGGGCGCGATTGTTCAAATAGATTTTGAGAAATCATTAGTCACTTACATATACAACTGTTATATAAGACTTATTTCTTGGAAAATTACAATAAAAAGAATTCTAAAAGATACTCGAAATATATACTTGCCACGGACCTGGAAAACCGCGAAAGATCAGGGAAATTGATATTGGTCATGGAAAACCGGGAAAAGTCAGGGGAAAATGTAAAAAAGTCTGGAATTTTGAAATTTGCTCACAATTTCCTTAAACTGCTCCTATTCCAGATAATTGTTATAATCTTTTAATATTATATCTGAGGTTTTTATAATGAAGTACGTTCAAAACTTGCACACTTTAAACAATTTTAATAAAATAATTAAAATTTATATTTTATACAGTATTTTTATTTGATCGCTCTTTTTTGTAACTGCATTCTTTTTTCCAATACTAATTTATTTTTGTTGACTTGAATTTACACCCAAAATTTTAGTATGCTACTAAGCTTTTTTTGCGTTGTTTTTAATAATATAGACTAGCTTTCTTACAACTCTTAACTTTAAATGTGTTAAAATTTACATATTTTATATTGGAAAGTTTTTCATTTTCATCTGGAAAACCTGGAAAAGTCAGGAAATTAAAAAATTTATTTTCTGTAACAACCCTGAATGTGTACTAATATGATGTACTAATATAGGAACAACCCTGATTTGAATAAACCTTACGAATTTTTCAGAAAAAATTCGTAA